AGTCAAGTGTGGTAAAGTCAAGTGTCGTAGAGTCAAGTGTGGTAAAGTCAAGTGTACTTGACCCCATGTATTCTCTATGTATTTTCTCTGCGGGGCTCCGCACGGAAGAACCCTTCGCGATGCTTTCGGGAAAACTACCCAATAGTCCTTGTCAATCTTGTTCCTTATATCCGCTTCTACTTGTTTAGGCCTCTGCTAGCTAGGCCTTTGGGAGATTTTATGTTATCCCTTATTGGGCTTTAGTGGACTTAGTTCCGAACATCTTTCAAACGCTTTACAAGGGCCAGCGAAGTCTGCATGAACTATCATCACTGATGTCATCTAATGCTGGGTATGCTTCGGTGACCGGCCAGCGGGTCGCAGCCGTAACGCGCTAAAGCCTAAAGAAAGACAGCAGTTCGGGCTTAATGCTTAGGGGCTTAGAGTTTCGGGTTTTTGGGTTTAAGGGTCTAGGGTTCAGGTTTAGGGTGTTTAGGGTTTATGGGCCTGGAGTTTAGTGTTTTATGACGCATAACAACCCTTTTTGAACGTCAGAAACTGAACTCCCTAGCCTGCGCATGGGGCATGTGCGATTGCCAGGCACCGAAATCCTGATCTGCCTAAGAAGACCTAGAGTAGAAGCCCAAAAGTGGGAAACCCAATAGCTTCAATCCTTAAGAGTAATATGCCTTAAGAACCCAAAACCCACTTTTTTGTAGGTTCTTATTATAAACCCTAGTATGGGATTTATAGGGACCCTACAAAAAAGTCGGTTTTGGGTTCTTAAGGTATTTTATAGGGAATCCCAGCACGAATTGGCCTTGATCCGGTTTCCAACTTTTCGGGGTTTACTTTAGGGTCAGCTGTACTTCCATGTGCTGACTGTCAGTAGAGATCCAGTTTCTTGGCTGAGGTGCAACCCTAAACCCTAAACCCTAAACCCTAAACCCTAAACCCTAAACAGTTTGTGAGTCTCATGGCACCAGACGCTTCGACAAATGAACCCAAATGGCTTCCGTCCAAACCCCTCAAAGACGCCTCGTGTTGGTAGGACCCTGAACCCTAAACCCTAAACCCGAAACCCCAAAACCCTAAACCCTAAAACCCTAAACCCTAAACCCTAAATTTGTAACCCTCATCAACCTTACGGAACCCGAAGATGTCTCGCCCAAGTCGCAGGTGCTCTCGCTGGACAGCATGGTTCTCCCTCTCAGCTTGAGCTGCTCGCAGAGAGATGGGGTGCAGCATGAAGTACATGAGTAGTTGTCAAAATTATGGTCCCTTTTGGGGTACCCTAAATAATAGGCGCCGTATTATAATAAGGACCCCAAAAAGGGACCATAATTGTGACAACCACCCACATGGTTTCAGAGACTCCGGAACCCCCCTCTAAACCCTGAGCCCTAAGCCCCTTACATGAACAATGCGCGACCAATTACAAAAAGAGTGACTAGGATTCAAGGTGTATTCCTTAATTGAGGGTTTAGGGTTTAAGATCGCGCCGTTTGAAAGTGGTTTGCCTTGGCCTTTCAGGGTGCAGAAGGAGCCCTCAATAGTCAGCGCTGTTATTCCCTTTTGCCGGCACAAATCGAAAATCAGGACCAGACCTCAAGCCACGTTTTAGGGGTGGTTTAAGGTTTAGGGATTTAGGGTCCAGGGTTGAGGGTTTAGTTT